CTGGCAAAGAGTCCCTCCCCAGCTCTTCTATAGGCACCCTTCAGGTATTGAAAGGCCACTATAAGGTCTCCCTGGAGCCAGAAGTTCCAGAAGTATGGAAAAGCACCCCCATCCCACGTACCCCCAGCTTTGCTGGCAGCAGGTAACGTCACCAGCTCTTCCGGATAAAACACTTGGTGTTTGTGAAATGAGGTTGGATGAAGTTACACAGCGCAGCCAGAAACCCCAGGTTACCTTTCTGTTTTCAGAGAAGAGACACCTAGCAATCAGCAGGTACATTAAAATTACTTTATTACTAAAATATTTTTTACATTTAGTAAAGATAACCAACCTGCAACGACCGTGCTTCTGCTCCTCCTGAGCCAGGAAGCCGTAGGTCGGGAGAAGCCAACCCTCTACGCAACTAGGCTTGGCCTAGGAGCTCCAAAGGAGGCAGATGTGTTCACATTATTGTCAACCAAATATCTTCATCCGGTCGTGTTTGGGCTGCACTTAGAAACTGGGGTCTCTGTATCATTCAACAGCTGCATCAGGAACACAGTTTTAGAAAAAAACCTATTAATAGAAATTTCTCCCCCCTGGTTTCCAATGCACCGGGTCCAGGTCACCAGCGATGCCTTATGTTTTGATTTCCCATTCAAAGAACCAGGACAATAGTCGGTCCTGGGTTTTTCTCCACTCTGAAGATACATTTCTCCTCTCACTTACACAGAAGGGGAGCAGGAGCGAGTCCTCCAACCCTGCAGGAACCCCAGCAGCATCTCACTGGGGGATGGACCAGGCCCCACAGCTCCTGGGGCAGCTCTTTCACGTGCAGGTACAGGGGAGGATGGAGGCAGAGCACCCCCGGGTCTCTTCATATCTGCTCTTTTAAACTCTATGGAACCAACAGGTATTGAAAAGAAAAAGAAAAAAGAAGAAAAAAGAAAAAAGAAACCAACCCAAAAGCAGCAGGAAACCCTTCAGCTGACTGTGCAGCCCAGGGAAGGTTGGCCAGATTTTGTCAAAAAACTGTACAGCAGCCGTTTGCTTTGTGGAAATTGGACTCAGATGGGACCAACGTTCCCCTGGAAGCTCCCTGAAAAGATGCTGAGCCAGAGGGAGCACCACGGGCACTGCCAACGGGGGGGCACTGCCCCCAGGGACACCTCGGGGACACCCAGGAGCACAGGGAGAGTCAGACCTTCATACAGCATCAAACCAGATTCGTACATATAAAAATAATCGTACAGAGGAAGTATTTTCAGCAGAATACAATCGTTAGGCATTCAAAAGAAGATACAGAACTAATTAAAAGTAGCTTTTCTGTACTGGAGAGCGTGGTAGGATTAAAGACACCCAGCAAGGGAGGGCGTGAGGACGTGGCATCAGCCCAACCACACACCGTGGGGTTTGCTACAACAAAATACTCCATCTACCAGAATGGAAGAGGAATTCACAAAAAAAAAGAAAAAAAAAAAAAGAAAAAGGATAAAAACCAAAGCCTGGAAACCGTAACAAAAACACAGAAACAAAATGAAAATGTACTAAAATTTAATCATTCATAAAAGCTGTAATTTAATCTGTGACAGTAAAACACAAGAAGCAATATTAGAGTTGTTTTAGTATATTATATATTTCTGCTTTTAAAGCCATAGAAATCAGTTATCCCAGTTTTTTCCTATAAAAGACCCATTTTTCCAAAGCATTATGCACAAACTTTTTTAATTAGAATATAATGGCAGAATGAAAATAATGATATTCCATAACTTTTAAATATAAAATGAAGTCAATGACTCAAAAAAGTTATTTGTTGCAGTGAGTTCAAAGGGAAATTTCAGATAATATATATCTATAGTTATAGATATAAAATATAACGGTGGAACATTTTTAGTGCTTGATGGGGAGAAATTATGATAAAAGGGTCAATATGAAATTTTAATTATAGTAGCAATATCTAACATTTGAAATGCATCCATGCTCCTTTGTATAATCATACACTAGAGTCAATTATATTTATTTTCACATCTGTTAACTGCTATTGCAAAGGAGGAGTATTATTGTCTTAGATTTCCAAGAGATATACACAGAGCAATTTCTTTTTCCAGGGACTGTGTGCAAACCATTTTAAGATCTAAATTCTTCTCATAGTATATAAAAACAGGAGAAGCTTCTTCGGATATGTTATTAATTTCCATAAGGTTTTGAAGTCGGGAATGCTGGCACTTTCCATTTAGGCAACAGTTCTTCATTCCTGCAATCTAGAAAAAGTGGAAAGAAAAAAAAAAAGAAAGGAAAAGGTGATGGGGGGACCTGCCCAACAGTCTCCTGGAAGCCTCCCCAGCCCAGAGGGACAACACACCATGTTTCAGCAGACACAGCTCATCTCCCCCAGCCCTGGGGCTGGCTCCTACTGCCCTCTGATCAGAGGTACCAAAACAAAGAGACTCTGGGAGCTGTAACTCAGAGAAACAAGCTCTTGTTCTATCAGCCCACCAGGACAGCACACCACCCAAATCCAGCTACACCACCTGAGGAACAGGAAAAGCCACTAGAGATGTGCTCCTCAATTGCTCTTCCTAAGGCTGTTGTTTCCCCACAACCCAAAGCTGTTCTTTTCTGGTGCTCAAAGCTGAGGGTAAGAGTCTCATCAATCAGTGAGGAGTCCTTAGAAGCTGGGTTTAGTGCAGAGCTCCACTTCTCAGTGACACCTGGGCTACATGAACGCCCACCAACGCTACATGAACAGCACAGAGCTGGCAGAGGTGAAGCCACTTGTTTTCAGAATTCATGCCTGAAATCCTTTTATGACCAGGAGATCCATTTCTCACATCCCAGAGCCCAGAGGGGCCGTTTGCCCCACAACACACGTGTGTGCCAACACCCTGCCAGAACCTGAACCTACAGAAATGCTGTTTTCTTTGGGGAGCGTGCAAGAACAGCTGTGAGCACACCGAGTCCCCTGCCAAGATACACAGGAAGATTATTTATAGCCATCTCCAACTTTGGGGTGGTTTTGTGTTTTCATTTTGGTTTTGGGGTGGATTTTTTTTTTTTTTTTGGTGGGCAGCTTTTTATTTCTGTGCCATTGAAATCCATGTCCCACCCAAACCGATTTGCCGTTGTCCCCAGAGCACAGAGGACTGAGACAGCAGCTGCAACAATAACACAAGTCACACAGATGCTGCCAAATTTCAGCAGAGGATAAAACGGAAGCAGAACTGAGCCACGGTGGCCCCGAGCACAGGGTCACAAGACAGAGAACCTGCAAGAGTAAAAGGGAAGTTCCTGCTCTGCTGCACTCATCACCCCAAGCAAAAGGGGAAAGAGAGAGAAGCAGAGACTCCTCTGCCAGGTCAGTCAGTAGAAATGCCTTTTCTTAAAAAGTCCAACAAATGCAGAATTTTGTATTTGGGAGCAGAGAGAAGGATGAGGAGTGGAGGGAAGGGGAGTGAGTCCCCCCTCTGCTGGGAGCAGCTCATGGGCCTGAGCTGTGGGGTGGGATTCAAACCTCTTACCTGGCTCAGAGCTGCTGCACGACGGGCATCTAAAGCAGCAGACATGATTTCTTTTTAGGCTTCTTCTTTTCCACTGGTGTTTTTCTATTTATCTGTCTGACCAGGTCATAAAAGATCTGCAAATGAAAAAAAAAAACAAACTGAAAAAATCAAAGTGATAAAACATTACACAAGCGTCAAAAAATCAGGCGGGTTGGCAAAGCTGATACTCTTTCCTGGGGGCTGCAGTCTCAGAAATTGAGTTTCACTGCTTGCATTTACTTCAAGGTGTTTCTCAAGCAGCTGCTTATGGCTCAAGAGAGCACAGGGCTCCCACCTGGATGCAGAACTCCCACCCTGCAGCCCAGCTTTCTCCCGCAGGTTGTGTGTGACCAAAGGCTTCAGGAGAGTACAGGAATTAAACAGCAACACAGCCCTTGCTTTGGAGAAGTGGGAGAAAACTGGGGAATGACAAAAGGTTTTTTAAAAGACAGGCACAATGTCCTTAAGGACCATCTTCCCTCTGGTGGTCCCTGGGCTGGGAAGTGTCTCTGCAGAGAAAGATGCATCAGCGAAGTCTCAGCGCAGGGAAAGGCATCCCTTTTCCTTGGCTTTTCCCTCCAAAAGGGGTCTTCATTCGCCTGCTCCAGAGGATGCTCTGTTAATATTCTTCTTTGCAAAAAAAAAAGTCAAGCTCTTAATGACTTCACCTTTTTGCCTGGTCTAATATTTTGAGTTTTATTAATAAAATTCACAAGGAGAAGCAAAACATCTGCCTTGAACTCGGACATTTCCAGAAGGATTGAAGGATCACAGGGGCCTCTTTCAGCTCCAGAGAGGAGTTTCTTGTGAACGCTGTTGCTGTGAGTTGTTTTCCCAGCAATGCTCAACCCATTTATAGCAAAAATGAGCTTTGCAAAAATGCTTGGAGCCGGGTCACAGTATTGAGGCGAAATATTTAAACCTTCAGAAGGCTCCACCCTTGTCCTTGTTTACTTTTTTCCTTCCTGGAGTGGCTGACAGCTCACAAATTCTTGTTGATTCCAAGGAAATTCAGAAAACAAAGAGCCAGTTTATAAAAAAATCGCAGCAACTGGAAATTTAAGATTTTCTGGCTATTACCTACATGAAAAAGCACCAGTGCACAGTAAAACAGTTTCAAATGAAACAAATAACCAGTACAATAAGTTGCTTGTGTTATTTCTCTCTCATTTCCTCGGCTTTTATGCTTTTCATAACCAGACAATATAAACTGGCAGAAAACCAGAAAATTAAGATCACAATAAAACAAGAAACGAATCTTGCAGATAATAATTTTCCTCTCAATGCTGTGAGTCTTGCTGGAGGCAGGAGGGAAGAAGGGAGCCAGGGGATGCACAGGTTAAGGATGATGATTTGTAACCAGGCTGGTGGTTGAGAGCTCAGGAGAGCTTTAAGGCACCTTTGGCTGACGGGAGGTCAGTCTCTGCCACAAACTGGGGGAATACAAATAAACCAGGATTTGTGACACTCCACAGTGATCTGTTCGATGACTGAGCCATGAGATTCTTGCTTAACAGTCATAGTTTTACTACGGCTCAATCACAAACACACAGAAGATCCCCCCTGGCAGGAGGCTGGCTCAGCGAGCTATATTTACTGGGTTAGATTAGTGCTCACTGCAGCCGGGCTAATCCCAGCCACGGGAGCTGCAATTCCTGCAGCCCGGAGCTCCCTTCCCTTCCACCCGGGTAAATGCTGTGCTGAGCATGTCCCACAAGCAGCCAAATCAACTCTGGGGCTGGTCCAAGATCCTACTGCTCCTGCTTATCACACTGCCTCCTCCATGGTCCCAGTTATCTCCTGGCACCACACCAGCTACGCTCAACGGGGTCACCTTAGCTTTTGTGGCGGAAACCTGGCCCCTGTCACACTCAGATAATTCACAGCAGAGAATAAAAACTCGGTGGCTGATGTCAAGCAGAGCTCCCTCAGCAGCTCTGCACAACCTCGGGCAGCAGCAAAAAGGCACAGCAACTGCAGAGGAGTTTCTCCTTCAGACACTGCTGAGACAGAGATGTGCTGGGACACGGTCTCAGTGAATTAGCAGTTTACCAGAGGAGGGCTGTGATGGGATGTTGGTCTGAGCAGCCAGACGTAGCAGGAATGTGAAAAGCAAATACTTTTCAAAACCAGCCAACACCACGCAACACGACGTGTAACACAAAAGGGGCATAATCCATGTTCTGAATAGCAACAGCAGTTACCTTGAAGAAGTACACTTCCCAACCAGAGTTTATCTAAGCTGAGAGCCTCCAGGGCTCACTCCAGGTCTCTGCCACAGCCACAGAAAGCACTTACCCAGAGAAGTCAGCCACCCTTCACAGAGAAAAAGGAGCAGATCTCCTCAAAACAAAGAGAAAGCAGTAGCTAAATACATGGTGTGGCAAGTCTTTCTTAGGCTGGTATTTCAGAATCATCCTGAATCTTCTCAATGAAGAAATATATGAAGGACTGTGTGCTGGTTCAACATGGCTGAAGCAGGAAAGGCAAGGGAACAGTTGATAGTTACCTCATTAACGTTGATTTTAGACTTTGCAGACGATTCTAGAAAGGCACAGTTACACCACTGTCTTGCTAAGTTTTGACCCTGTTCTTTGCCGACTACACGCTCTTCCTCCAGGTCACATTTATTGCCAACCAGAATCATTGGAACCTGGAGAGAAGCAAGAACAAGAGATGTGTCAGCAAATTAACTTTCAACATGGACTCTAATGGTATATGGCTTACAAAGGCATGGGTCCGGGGGGAGAAGACAATATAGAGAGTATGAAAGACAATAACAATCCAAAGTTCAGCAGAGCCCACAGACTGGACTGGAATTTAGCTGCCTGCTGGGAAAGGGTTGAACAGAGTCCTTTCTACAGACACCCTGGTTTGCTAAAACAAAACACATGGAGGACACTGTCAAACCGACTGGCAATATTTCAGCACAACCTTAAGTTAGTAAAGATTTTTTTTCTGGTCTCTACGTTCAAGTCAAAAACTTAATTTACTACTGAAATGCATTTCAGGACTTGCATGTGAGAGCAGGGGAGCAGCTGATTGTAGACAACAGAACACACAGCCCATGTTTTAAGACACACATTATGTGTTTCAGCCCCTGTGATCTGTCTTGTCAACCTGTTGTCGAGCCACACAACAATAAATGGAAGCACCTTTGACAAGCACTGCCCTGGACACAGAATGAAAAGGACTAGTCCAGTATTCCCACAGCCCTGTGCACAAAACCAGCTGCCTTTCTCATCCCGATGCAATATCACACCACCGACAGGTTTTGTACACGCACAGAAACCAGGATGTTCACTACAAAAGGCACAAATACTGTGCTTGATATTTAGATTAGCATAATTACATTTCCAACTAGTGACCATCTAGCAGCTCAGCTCCTGGAAGGACATCACTTCCGATAAATAATCTCATGCAATATTAGAATAAACATTTGATAGGTGTTCAAAAGATTCACCCCACAGCCATGACGCAAACACAGGCAAATCATTTGATCATCTGTTCAAGGCAATGATGAAAGGGCATCTGCCCCCCTCCGTGAGCTTTCTAAAGTGTCAGGGTGAGTCACCTTCTTGCTCCTTCATGAGGAAGAAAGTGCCTTGGGGAAACCATATTCCTTGTGACATTTTCTACAGAAAAAAAAGAGAGAAATCTAATACTGGAGGAAAAGAACCTTGGCTGCAGTAAATGCTCGTTACTGATGTGTTCAAAAGACGGGTTGATGTGGTGCTGGGAGATATGGTTTAGTGATGATGCTCCTTGTTTGTTGTGTGGGTGTCTATTTTTGTCAGTTAGGTTGACGGTTGGACAAGATGATCTTTAAGGTCCCTTCCAACCTAGAAGATTCTGTGATTCTGTTTCACGAGGCTGCAGGGAATGAAGGTCCCTCGACTCGCCCCCAGCCCTCCCACCAACAGCACAAGGGCCAGCAGAAAGGAGGGGTCTCCTGCCCCACCGAACATCACCAGGTCCTCACCAGGGCTGTGACTGTATCTGCTCGGGGAGCACAGAGACAAGAGCAGTCTGAACTCATGAAGTGATAAATCTGTTTGTCTTAGAAGTATCAGAGTAAGCCCTGGGGAGCACAAGCAGCAGGAGACCTCTCTCATCAGTTACGTTTAGATAGTGAGTTAAAACTCTCTCAGGAGAAAGAAACTGGGCAAAAAGATAGATTAAAAAGAGTACTAAGACACGTCAGAGATAACATCCTGATCTATGGTTTCAAAAGGTTCTCTCTCTGCTCCTCAGGCTGTGTTTGCCACAGCTGCAGCCCACCAAGACGTCATAAATAGGCTGAAAAGACCTTAAACAAGTAAACAAAAAACACCCAAAGCTCCCCCAAATCCTCCATAATAACCAAACCAACCTATCCTTGGTTGCCATTCCCACATCTACAAGATGAGGAGATGGCAGCGTGGTCCCAGCTGCTGTCCCCAGGGCACTGCCAGGACACTGTCCCAGCCACCCGGAGACAGACACACACCCCAGGGCTTGCTGCACGGCAGAATCGGTGCATTACGGATCATTTTGAAGTTTGCTTTTACAACCTGCAGCTCAGAGAGATCTGAGGGGACGATACAGCAGAGCTGGGGTGGCACCCAGCAGAGCCAGCATCCTGTTTGCCCTGCGCCGGGGGAGAGCAGAAAAACCTACAGAACGGCTGATAATGGGTGTGCACCCACTCCACTTCCTGAAGCTTTTCAGTCTTTGAACAGAAAACGAGTACTTTCCAGCTGGAAAATAAATCATCATCCACTTCCTTTGGTAATTTACAACACGCTGTATGTTTTTAATCTACTTCAACGTTAGTATTTGTACTCTCTTCCTGATTCAACTACACTCAAGATTAATTTCTGTATTTAGAACTCCCAGCCACACTGATTAGAAAATGATCCCGGTTTTATTTTTGAGAAATGAGTTTTACTTTTTACATCAGTTGCAATGCTAGTAACAACTAGCTTTTGTTCATTTACTATTTCATGTAGAAGACTGGAATTTCAACTTTGGTAGTGATAACGGGTGTGCACCCGCTCCACTTCCTGAAGCTTTTCAGTCTTTGAACAGAAAACGAGTACTTTCCAGCTGGAAAATAAATCATCATCCACTTCCTTTGGTAATTTACAACACGCTGTATGTTTTTAATCTACTTCAACGTTAGTATTTGTACTCTCTTCCTGATTCAACTACACTCAAGATTAATTTCTGTATTTAGAACTCCCAGCCACACTGATTAGAAAATGATCCCGGTTTTATTTTTGAGAAATGAGTTTTACTTTTTACATCAGTTGCAATGCTAGTAACAACTAGCTTTTGTTCATTTACTATTTCATGTAGAAGACTGGAATTTCAACTTTGGTAGACATACATGATTTAAATGGCTTAAGTATTGTGATTTTAAAAGACACATTCTGAAACCAAATACAGGAAGGAGCGCGTTTCCCTAACTCAGCAGAACCCGGCTTATATGTTCAAAAGGTTCTCAGGCTTGGATTCAACAAGTAACATCCCCCTAAAACAACATAAATAAATGTATTTCAATAATTAAATCAAATCACTGAAGTAAAATGAAAGCTACAGTCTCTATTGTCCCACGAGCTTGACCAGCTTACGGTGCAAATTCCCCTCCTGCGAGTGCAGCTGAGCGGAGCGCTGGACTCCCACCCGGCCAACAAGGGACTATTACCAGGGGTTTATGCAAGTGTAATCCCTCCCTACATGAAAATCAGTTTTTGCATAAATAGAAGTTCAGCTTCTTAGACCGAGGAGGAACCAAAGATGTTCAAAACCAGGTAATGGGGACACGGAACATTGAAGATCCAAGAGACAGCAGCCACCGAGGTGCCCTCGGCTCATCCCACTCACTGCGCAAACTGCATTTTCCTGAGCAGCTATTTAAATACAATGCACATGGCTTACCAGGGGCTGCCCTAAATACGTGTCCCAGCCCTGTTCACAGGGCCGTGCTGTACGGGGAGCAGGGCTGGGAGTGAGAGGAGGCTGCTCCTTGGGGGCTGACACCACCCCAGAGCCACCGACATCAAAGGCGGCGGCGACTTTTAAGCCATCGGTGGAAAAAAAAAATCAGCAATATTTTCACACTCCTCAGGGCAAAGCCTTGAATACGTTACCAACTGTAAGGCACAAAAAAAATTCATTTCAGCTCCTTCTGGAAGAAGACTACACAGAGAGAGAGAGGTCCTGCACGTCTCCACCAGCCACATGGCGACTACGGCAGAAGCCACCGGCAACCTCACCCACGTCACACACTCACTTCCCGCGTGCTCCGTTATATTTGCAAAGCAAAAAAATATCTTACTTACATCTTCAGTGTCCTTAACCCGTAAAATCTGTTCCCGCAGGTCCTGTAAGTCGTTAAACGTGGACTGTGCTGTTATAGAATATACTAGTGCAAACCCTTGACCGTTCTTCATATAGAGATCCCTCATCGCTGTAAATTGCTCCTGTAATCAAAGGTTTTAAAAAGCAATTAGCTAGTGAATGCAGATAATCAACATTTACAAAGGAATACTTGCAGTGGAGACAAGAACATAGTGCTGTACAGCATGCAGTTACATTTTTACCCCTTACAGAAATCCACCAAAGCATGCAAATTTAATAAAAGCATTAACACATCTCTTTCCCTTTGTCTTTTTTCCCCCTTAATAGAGAAAAAGGCTTCTTGAAAAAATGAGGAACAGCCCAAGAGCAGCAATAAAAGTCTATCTGCAGATGGACTGTTGCACGCCCCAAACCATAACACAAGGTGTCGAGATCTGGCTGATGTATTTTGTAGTGATCTTCCATTTATTTTCTGATTTGGTGTTAAGCACCACTCTGCCACCAGGATTCCCCAGGCAACAGATATGGACAGGAAATTCAATTTCTCCCCTAAGACACTATTGAAACAGGCCCGGGTGTCACACACTCACAATTTAGTGTGAGCACGACTGCATGGGGAGGCACTGCCTGATGACTCTGAACATGCACAATCAGACAGTGGCCATCTCTAGCATGAACAGGGCTTAAAGGTTCAATGCAAGGAAATGCTGGACAGTGTGTACCCCATCAGAGCTGCCTTTGTCCACGCCTGTGAAAGCAGCTTCACCAGAACCACTTCTGCTTCCACGCCTTTGCGCTGCTGTTAATAATTTTCAAAGCTTTCCAAATAAAACTAACTTTTAGGAAGCGTGTCCTCCCCCTGTGATGTGCACTCAGCCATTACAAGGGCTGTTTACTCAGTGGCGGGTCTCTGCAGGATGGCAAGTGACAGTGGGAGGGCAACTCTTTACATCTGACCTCCCTCTTAACAAAGAAACTCCAGACCTATTAGAAATAGAGATGATACTCACTGTCCCTGCTGTGTCGAGGATTTCAAGCATACACTGTTGGCAGTCTACTTCCACTTGCTGGGGAGAAAAGGGAAGAGAGAAATGCAGTTAAAACTAGAGCCTGAAATGGGACAGGCAAGAGGAATATCAACTTAATTTTCACTTCTGCTGCAAAGACCTCTGTCAGAGAGACAGGCACCTGCACCCAGCGCTGAGAGAGGGTCAACTACACCCCCAGCCAGGCGTTTGGGTCAGCATAAATATGCTCCAGGACTCTCTTGATTATAAAGGCCTAATTGAGCAGCTCATTGTAAACATCTCAACTTAAGTGAGATAAAATCCACTCGTACAAATCCAAGAACCTTAAACTTCAGTTTTCCTTTGGTGCTGGGAGAGAAGGGAGTAAGGAAGAAAATTAGTGATGCCCACAGTCTGGCTTAGCAAGTCTTCCACTCCCTGAGAAACGTCTCCGATTCAATGAGGGCAATTCCAGAAAAGTCAGAACAGCAGAACTCATTACACGACAATTTACATTTAATTATCACAGGCACAAACGCTACACATTTTTGGTTTATGTTTTGGTACCTTTAATTAGGGTAACATTTATGCTAATCTGTGAAACAATGGGTTACTTGACATCAACCCCGTGAAGAAAGCGGCTCTGTTGGGAGCATGACGTAGCACGGCAGCGGCAGGGATCCTGACAAGGATCTGCTCAGCAATCACAAGCCTGCATCCACAACAGCCATAAGGAATTTTATATGCCTTCAAACCAACGCATTCGAACTAAATAGCAAAACAGCCATCCTTAAAAGAAAACAACACAAGGCAATGGCTCTGCTCCAGTGCTCCAGCCTGCTGTGATGAACGGTGCATGTACCCTCTGTAAGAGCTTTCACAGACAGCATACGCACAGCAAATATTGGTATCTTCATGTTTTGTAGTAATAACTGTGTGTCAAGTGACAGCAAAAAGGCCTGAGTAACAGCCTGATCCTCATTGTTTTACCTTTCTGTACGAATCTTCTATTGTTGGGTCATATTTTTCAACAAAAATTCCCTGAACGAACTGTACAGTCTGGGGAGAGAGAAAAGAGGTAAAAAATTACGTGAATTGAACACAACCAGTAACATTCACCAGGAAACATTTTATGAAAAAGTAACACCACATTAACTGCTCAACACTGCTGTTAAAATTCAACAGTGGGGAGCAGAGAGAGACATATGCATTTTCAATTTTTTAACTGTTTTTTTAAGAATCACTTAATTCAAGCAGGTTTTCAAAACTTTTTTGAAACGTTAACTGTTTGCTTGCTTGCTTTTTCATAAAAGACGGTGTCCTCAAAAATGCCTTCACTTCAGTGCCTGCGACTTCAGAAGAAGAAAAATCACCAAATATGGAAGATTTGAAGTTTAATCAGAAGAACTGGCAATCTGTACACTGTAGAAAAGTACCTCGTGGAAAAACCACATTTTAGGTCAAATCATAGTCGGGTTAGAGAGGAGCTACTCTGGACGACGTGCCCAGAGCACGGACATATTTCAGAGCAACACGTTAAATCTGGAGCATCTCCAGATACTCAATTTGTATTAAGCCATTAAAGGAGGAGACATCATTCCTTTCAAAGAGGAAGTCTTTCTTCCCATATATAAGTGAATCTATGTCCCCCATTCAAAGCAAATCTACTCTAAACACTCCCCACCGGGCTGTCCCCTCTGTTCTGGGAACGGTGCTTGTGGAGCAGCCTCCGGCACGACAAACCACTCACAGCATCTCATCCTTCTACTGTAGCACTCAGTCTTATTTCTTGTCTGCAAATACAGCACTGCTGTGAAAGGAAATTAACTCAAATTGTTTTATTTCTAATAAATCACTGTTCTAACTTTTGTTATCCTGATTGGTGCTTGTGTGCTCAGAGACAACAATTACGTAGAATCATAATTACGGCTGTAACTTCATTCATAACCTATCTTACTATGGAATACTCTTAATCTTTGATGTACTTTTATTGATTATAGGAGAAAGGGCGGGCCAAGGGATAAGACAGAAACCTGGGGTTTTTTCCAGGCTATGTGTGGATCCCAGACTTTTATAACTTTCTGTCAATCTGGGGGCTGTGCCCCCCAACTTTGGGTCCCAGTTTTCCATAGGACTGTGCACAACTGGATGCTCTTGGTAACACTGTCCACCCACTGACACTCCAGATCTTCACTCTCACTAGAAATGGGGACAGAACTACTGCACAGGAAACACAAAGAAGTTGGAAAAAGCTGTCCCTTAATAACTCTGAAGGGTTTTCTGCTGTCCTGTCATCACTACCAACCGCACAACCAGCACCGCGTTGGCACAGAAGAGTTAAAACAATACGATGGATTTGCAGTGAAACAACACCATATTGTAATGCAAGCACAGGACTGAAAAGGAACACCAGCCTCTTTGTTAGACATTTTAGTTTATACAGCTCGAAGAAAGAAATTTTAAAGTGACCTCCGTATTATTTTAAATCCCACCTTGTAACCTCTCCTTGCTTGCAAATAGGTGGTCATGAAAGCTAAATATTACTCACTCTTACCTGCTAATTGGCACTTACTGTGTCCTGTTACAAATATAATGGATCCATGTAACATATGAATTACAAGATAGGTTTACTTAGCACCTAGACTGTCAAGAAGAACGTAACTTTTGTTTACCAGACTAAGTATTCACATTTCAGCCTTTAATAAGACCAGGGATAGATGCTGACTCAGACTTCACGTCACAAATATGGAAATTCAAGTATGTCAGATTGAATAAGTGCCGTATTTTACCTCAAGAGTCTTTCATCATTATGTAAGAAAAGCAAGACACTCAATCGAGAGGGTGCTGGTGGAAAAAGCAATACAGATTGCTCCAGTTGTTGTGGGAGACTGCAGTGTGTAAAAAAAATTGTACACCTACATCTTGTAAAGATTAGGATGGGATCTCTGAAAGAGTACATCAAATTTTATAAATTTCCTCCTAGTCATCTGGATTGTGCAGGTGATTTACCAAGATTAGAACCACCTATTTCAGAAAATCAACAACGGTGGAAGAAGCAGTGTCTACAACATGAACGGCTGGTCAGGTATTATCATCTTCTCTGAAAAGGAACATGGTGTAGTTCCTTGTTTTTAGATAACTTTACACTTGACCAGTTCTTCGCCTTCCTTGTTGGAGTGAGCTGCTTGACTGGTTTGTGATAAATAGGTGACAGAAATCCCTCTTACAATGCTTTGCTATCAACTCCGCTGTGTAAACCTCTTACTAGAAACAACACAAGTACTTAAGGAGTGCAAAGTGTCATCAGTCTGCTTATCCCTGGCGCTGCACACGCTGGAGGTGACTTCTCATTCTGCCCTGTGTTTTCAGTCCAGGCAGCTCATTCAGGTCCCATCCAGGATGGAAAACACACAGCCTCCAAGGTACACAAGGCTGCAACCTCCATGAATTCCCTGCCGGGCACAGCAAGCCTTCACCCACTGTTCCAGTGCAGGCCAGGCTTTTATTACTTAGATACAGACATTCAGTCATTTACAGCGTTATACCCATGTGGGTATAATGAAATGCTAACTACTCTAACAGACACTGATCGTCTGCTGCTTCTCCAAAAAGGTGACACAAATTCACAAGACCCTTCAGCAGCATAACAGTGGCTCTGTAGATGTCACTCTGCGTGTTAAACATACAAAGATCCCGATGCATTTAACAAGCACGGCCTCCAATAAGATAGGCCCAATTTGGAAGTCTGTGTATTGGTTTCGAAACTGCTTCCCAAAACTCACCAAAGCGGACTTCCCCACACCTCCTGAGCCAAGGACCACTAGCTTGTACTCACGCATGGTGTGGTCTGTTCAAACAGCGACGATCTGCAAAAGCAGGAAAAAAGCCAGCAGTTAAAAGCATTGCCCTCACACGTGCATTTATGTCTTTTGAAAGCAGCAGCACGCTCCCTTTCTCCAAACACTCCTGAGAACAGAAATCTCTTTAGTAACAGCTACGGGGTTTATTTTTCCACCTGGGCACTGGGGTTCAGAAGGTCACTCCGACAGCCCCACGTTATCTGAGATGCCCAGGACCCGTGAGGCTGAGGGTGCTGGGAGAGGAAGAGGATGAGGATGAATCCACCACGCCACAAGGACAGCACAGGCAGCAGCACAGGGGGAGCACACGCTGCCTGTCCTCTGCATTCTCAGCACTTTACAGCATAAAACAACGAGTATTGGACAAGACAACGAGCTCAGAAAGATGCAAGGAGAGAGGGTTGACGTCTCCTACCCGCCCCCAGCAGGGAAGGCTCCGGGTCAGTGTTTTCCCTCTGGAAAAGGCCAGCCCCTGGTGGCTGCCAAGGCAGAGCCTCCCCGCGCCCCAGCCAGGGCTCTGCCTTTTTATGGAAATCTTGCAACTCCCTCCGCTCGCCGCGCAGCACCAGAAAACTCCTCATTCTCACCGAGATTCCCTGACAAATAAGGCAAATGACAACGCTGGTGATAAACATTTTACACTATGTTTACATTATACGCCAGGCCGGGCTGTCCCTATCAACGAGCTCAAGCAAACAATGACCTCAGCAGCTAATTATCTCCCCCTCTTCCCCCAGCAAGATAGAGCTTTCTTCCCAAGTAAGGCTTCGGAAACACGAGCGCTATGAGCCTGGGCAAGCTGCATCTCTCAAAGGCATTTCAAACTAACGTTAGCACAGGATTTATGGGCTCACTGCCGACAGTTCGAGGATTGCTTTAAAAATAAAAATGTATTCCAAGTGGTTTGATAGAAAATGTATCACCTCGCCTTTAATAAGACCAGGGATAGATGCTGACTCAGACTTTACGTCACAAATATGGAAATTCAAGTATGTCAGATTGAATAAGTGCCGTATTTTACCTCAAGAGTCTTTCACCATTATGTAAGAAAAGCAAGACACTCAAACAAGAGGGTGCTGGTGGAAAAAGTAATACAGATTGCTCCAGTCACTGTGGGAGACTGCAGTGTGTAAAAAAAAATGTACACCTACATCTTGTAAAGATTAGGATGGGATCTCTGAAAGAGTACATCAAATTTTATACATAATTGAATGATCTTTCCTCCTATTCATCTGGATTGTGCAGGTGATTTACCAAGATTAGAACCACCTATTTCAGAAAATCAACAACGGTGGAAGAAGCAGTGTCTACAACATGAACGGCTGGTCAGGTATTATCATCTTCTCTGAAAAGGAACATGGTGTAGTTCCTTGTTTTTAGATAACTTTACACTTGACCAGTTCTTCGCCTTCCTTGTTGGAGTGAGCTGCTTGACTGGTTTGTGATAAATAGGTGACAGAAATCCCTCTTACAATGCTTTGCTATCAACTCCGCTGTGTAAACCTCTTACTAGAAACAACACAAGTACTTAAGGAGTGCAAAGTGTCATCAGTCTGCTTATCCCTGGCGCTGCACACGCTGGAGGTGACTTCTCATTCTGCCCTGTGTTTTCAGTCCAGGCAGCTCATTCAGGTCCCATCCAGGATGGAAAACACACAGCCTCCAAGGTACACAAGGCTGCAACCTCCATGAATTCCCTGCCGGGCACAGCAAGCCTTCACCCACTGTTCCAGTGCAGGCCAGGCTTTTATTACTGCGCAGCCTCCAAGGTACAAAGGCTGCAACCTCCATGAATTCCCTGCTGGGCACGGCAAGCCTTCACCTGCTGTTCCAGTGCAGGCCAGGCTTTTATTACTTAGATACAGACATTCAGTCATTTACAGCGTTATACCCATGTGGGTATAATGAAATGCTAACTACTCTAACAGACACTGATCGTCTGCTGCTTCTCCAAAAAGGTGACACAAATTCACAAGACCCTTCAGCAGCATAACAGTGGCTCTGTAGATGTCACTCTGCGTGTTAAACATACAAAGATCCCGATGCATTTAACAAGCACGGCCTCCAATAAGATAGGCCCAATTTGTGTAACAGTGGCTCCGTGGAAGTCACTCTGCGTGTTAAACGTCATACAAAGATCCCGATGCATTTAAGGAGCACGGCCTCCAATAAGATAGGCCCAATTTGGAAGTCTGTGTATTGGTTTCAAAACTGCTTCCCAAAACTCACCAAAGCGGACTTCCCCACACCTCCTGAGCCAAGGACCACTAGCTTGTACTCACGCATGGTGTGGTCTGTTCAAACAGCGACGATCTGCAAAAGCAGGAAAAAAGCCAGCAGTTAAAAGCATTGCCCTCACACGTGCATTTATGTCTTTTGAAAGCAGCAGCACGCTCCCTTTCTCCAAACACTCCTGAGAACAGAAATCTCTTTAGTAACAGCTACGGGGTTTATTTTTCCACCTGGGCACTGGGGTTCAGAAGGTCACTCCGACAGCCCCACTTTATCTGAGATGCCCAGGACCCGTGAGCCTGCGGGTGCTGGGAGAGGAAGAGGATGAGGATGAATCCACCACGCCACAAGGACAGCACAGGCAGCAGCACAGGGGGAGCACACGCTGCCTGTCCTCTGCATTCTCAGCACTTTACAGCATAAAACAACGAGTATTGGACAAGACAACGAGCTCAGAAAGATGCAAGGAGAGAGGGTTGACGTCTCCTACCCGCCCCCAGCAGGGAAGGCTCCGGGTCAGTGTTTTCCCTCTGGAAAAGGCCAGCCCCTGGTGGCTGCCAAGGCAGAGCCTCCCCGCGCCCCAGCCAGGGCTCTGCCTTTTTATGGAAATCTTGCAACTCCCTCCGCTCGCCGCGCAGCACCAGAAAACTCCTCATTCTCACCGAGATTCCCTGACAAATAAGGCAAATGACAACGCTGGTGATAAACATTTTACACTATGTTTACATTATACGCCAGGCCGGGCTGTCCCTATCAACGAGCTCAAGCAAACAATGACCTCAGCAGCTAATTATCTCCCCCTCTTCCCCCAGCAAGATAGAGCTTTCTTCCCAAGTAAGGCTTCGGAAACACGAGCGCTATGAGCCTGGGCAAGCTGCATCTCTCAAAGGCATTTCAAACTAACGTTAGCACAGGATTTATGGGCTCACTGCCGACAGTTCGAGGATTGCTTTAAAAATAAAAATGTATTCCAAGTGGTTTGATAGAAAATGTATCACCTCATCGACTACCGCTAACAACAGTCTGCGAAGAACAGGGATCGTATTTTTAGCTTTGCAACTGTGGACAACTCCCTGACAATCTGTGTCTCAAGTTTATATAATCATCAAATCGGGACAGGTTTTTTTTTTTCTATCATTTATATTCCCAAGGGAAGGCTGTAGCACAGAGAGAGCAGAGGAGCCCCACGTGCTGCCGCCGAGCCCCAGCCCGTCCCCGCCAGAGCCACTGGGACTTGCAGCAAATGCATCGCCGCAGACTTGCCCAAACATCCTGCTTTTAACCCTCACCCCCCAACCACAGCACGTTTTTGGCCTAAATGTGACAGGTTGAAACAAAAATACAAAAACTACGTGCAGCTGGAGAGAGGCACACAAATTCCGCAGCTGGTTTAACACAAGTTTAGGCTCATTTTAAGAAGAAAGAACAGAACCAGAGGGGTGGCCAGCACACGGGGGCTCAGAGCCACACAGCCCAGTTGCCCTTCCCTCTCCAGAGCCTTAGTGGGGGAGCTAAGGGTGACACCACCAGCAGCCCCCGCTTTTCAGCACCTTGGGGTGGTTTTTTCTTCTTTCTACAACTCCTGAAACCTACATGAGCTGCAGTTTCTTAGTTTCACAATTTCTATGAAGTCAAACTGAAAGGGATTTTCCGGAATGGTAACTTTGAATAGCTAAAAGCAGAGCAAGCAATGTACTCTAGTGCATCGACATTTTTGGTTAAAACTCTGGCAGCTGTAAGCTCTTCTGCTTGAAAATTTCCCCAAGAAGTAACATCCACTTCCTTTTTTTTTTTTTTTTTTTTTTCAAAAATCATGATTTTGGATGGAAAGGAGAGGGGAATTCCAACTAGCAATCATTTTCCCCTTGATAATCCTTAGAAATTAAAAGGCCATGCATTTTTTTTATAGACCACAAATAACCTGAATCCATAAGTTGTATCTTCATCTTCCTACAGTTCCACACTCTGTTCCACCCAAGAAAACCCAGAAAGCAATCAAGCAAAGGGTTAAATTTAGCTGTGAACTCTTTCACTTCTTATTGATAGTAAAAATACTTGTGGGAAAGTTTCAGCTGGGAGCAGTACAAGACTAACTTCTCATTTCTTCTCTACAGTATTTGCTGATTATTTTTCTTTTCAGGTGCAACAGGAAACCAAGATCCTGAAACGCATGAGCCTTATTACTGTAAACCCCACACGCCTTAATTATCTTGTAGCTCTTTCACAAGTATGTTAATGTTATCTGTTTATACAACATGAATAGAGTGCTCAAGAAATTACTATGCTGCATCCCAGCCAACTTTTCATTTGGCAACTGCTTGTGCCCACCTAAATAGAGTCAGACACAGTCGCATTCATTTCCACCCAGAGCTCTGGGGAGTGGAGTCACATGCTGGGAAGCAACGGCTACGGTTCAAAAAGGAATGAAGTTATGGGTGTTAAGTGTTTCTTTCGAGGCAAGAAAAGCATATGATCATGAAGCAGCGTTAAAAAAAATTAGTTCTTACTGTTGTCATAAACGCTGTGAAATTGATCTCATTAGTTTTGAATGCTGTGGTGCAAAAATAAAGCAAAAGGTGAGTGTGTCTCCTCGCTCGTGCTCCCTTTTCCCATTCATGCAAAGCCACTTGTCTGTGGCAGGACAACCGTGGGGCAGAGATGACACCTCATCCCCCTGCCCCATCCCTGCCCCGGGCAGCAGGGCCCCTCCAACCCACCCAGCACCTGCACGGCCACTTCAGTACAGTGACAAATCAGTGGGGTTCAGTTCCAGCTACAAGAGTGAGCAAACTTTGCTTCTAAGCTGCAAAACACCTGACGCCTCCGGATTAATCTCTTCTTTTCTTTATTCTTTAACAGCAGCATCTCTTTGCTGCTGCTGCTGTCACAACACTGCCTGGGAAATGACAGAAATGCAGACTCAGCGTCAGCCCCAAACCGCTCAGCTCCTTCCTGAAGGAAGCGTGAAGAGCCCTCCCCTGTGAACTGATGGAGATGTGAAGAAAAGATGCAGGATATCTGTTTAAGTACACAAAAAAGAAAGGCAGGGCGGGCGGGACGGCAGAAGGATCTCTGAGGGATGGGCAGGTGGATATCTGCAAAGGCAGATGAAGCTGTAACCTGAAACATGGCTCTGAGCACCCGCATCTTCATAGAGCCCAGCTTTCCCCAGCTCACCCCCATCTTTACAGAGCCCAGCTTTCCCCAGCTCACCCCCATCTTTACAGAGCCCAGCTTTCCCCAGCTTGCCCACATCTTCATAGAGCCCAGCTTTCCCCAGCTCACCTCCATCTCCATAGAGCCCAGCTTTCCCCAGCTCACCCCCATCTCCATAGAGCCCAGCTTTCCCCAGTTCACCTCCATCTCTGCCCAGCTTTCCCCAGCTCACCTGCATCTTTACAGAGCCCAGCTTTCCCCATCTCACCCCCATATCCATAGAGCCCAGCTTTCCCCAGCTCACCTGCATCTTTAACTGCACCAACCACCTCCCGCCCCGTTGCAACCACGTGGCTGAACGAGGGCTCAGAGCAGTGAAACTTTCAGGGTATTTCCCAAGCAGCGGAAGGAGCCGGGCAGAGGCAGTGGGGGGAGAACGACCAAGCCCTTCAGGAGATAACCCTGCCACAAAAATTAGCTGCTCCTCTTAGAAAAGTTTCACCAGCTCATCAAGTTTATAATTCGGATGATGGGGAGAGAGAAGCATAAACAAAGAAGATAAGTGAAGACAGCGCTGAAAGAGAGTGGGTGCAAGAACTTCAGGCCAAGATGTGAGGTGCAGCCTGTGGAATGCAAACACCCGAGTACAGGTCTGTACATCTGAAGAAGGCAATTTCTATCAGTTTCTGATAAAAAAGAAATACCGGAGGACCGGTACGAGCACATGACCCGATGGCTTTGCATAACTTGGTGAAATGTTGGCCGTGACTGATGACACAATCTCCGCTCAGTAAGACGATAACGAAGCCTTAAAAAAAAAATAACAATCAAAGCAGACACATTCTTAACTCAGCCTGAAAAACTGTGGACTGTACTCATAGGTTTGTGTTTTGTGTAACAGCAGAGGACATCAGGAAAGGCAGAACACAAAACTTCAGGGTTTCTCTTCCCCACCACAGGTAACAAGATTCAGGCAACTTTTGATTTTAAACAATGCATCACGCACTTATCAGTTCTCCAACTTCCCCAACTGCCAATGTTTTCACAGTTGGCAATTTCATTTGAAATACACTGAGAACATTAAAAAAATCATACCTTGGCATAAAAGATCTCTCATCAGTGTTAGCAGCCCTACGGAAGGTTTTTCCAGGCTCCCTGTAAGGGACTGAAAGAAAAAAAAAGAAAAAAAAAGAATTAATCATTTTATTCATTTTTCAAATGACAGTGTATGCAAGTGTCAAATCTTCTCTTTATGGTTTTAAACCAAAACACACCTCTCACAAGAACTTGCCCTTTGCTTTATCAGTGGAGCTCTATGCAATTTCTGAATACTGGAACCAAATTACCTTGTAAACAAGAACTCTGGCACAGTTTAACCTTGTGTGTATGACAGTAAAGGATTGCAGGGGGCCGGGTGGAAGCCAGTGGCAAAACACAATTTCTACTTGAGTATGTCATTAAAAATCCTTTACAGACTGGACTTGCAGTTACGGCAAACCATAGGAAGAAGAGACAAAATTGAACTTCCTCAGGTTAAAAAGTAAAAATCAAGCTCACAACCATAAAGTTTACATTTCTGCTTAATACAGGACTGCAGTGGCTTTCAGAAGCAAGAAGTAAAACTCGTCCCTGTGCTGTGCAGCTCCTGGAGCCGTGTCAGCTCAGCCACCCAAGGTGTCACACTGGGTGACAAAGCATCAGTCTGAGCACAGAGCACCCACGGCCACCGACTCTCGGTTCCCTGAGCCACGGAGCATCCACCGCCCGGCGGGAGAGGGGCTGGACCCAGCCAAGCTGCCAAGCCAAACCACTTGTCTATGGCTTTCTTTACATCAATTTTTACAAGTTTTATGCAAAGTTGCCACTTCCGTCCACAATCCCCTGTAGCTGTTATTTGAGGATTGCATTTGCAGAAAGTTCACACACACTTTCAAAGTCTCACTTTTTCCCTTCCCTCCAGCAATGCCTTCTACCTCCACACCATGGAGTTCATCCCCTACATATTGATGGCTGTCTTCTCCTCATTTCTCCTTGAGTACTGTGTCCAGTTTTGGGCCCCCTACCATAAAAAAGACATTGAGGTGCTGGAGCAGGTCCAGAGAAGGGCGACAAAGCTGGTGAGGGTTCTGGAGAATAAGTCTTATGAGGAGAGGCTGAGGGAGCTGGGGTTATTCAGCCTGGAGAAGAGGAGGCTGAGGGGAGACCTTCTTGCTCTCTCCAACTCCCTGAAAGGAGGGTGTAGAGAGGTGGGGGTCGGTCTCTTCTCCCAAGTCACAGGTGACAGGACGAGAGGAAATGGCCTCAAGTTGCGCCAGGGGAGGTTCAGGCTGGATATTAGGAAAAATTTTTTCACTGAAAGGGTTCTCAGCCCTTGGACTGGGCTGCCCAGGGAGGTGGTTGAGGCCCCATCCCTGGAGGTGTTCAAAAGACGGGTTGATGTAGTGCTGGGAGGTCTGGTTTAGTGATGATGCTCCTTGTTTGTTGTGTGGGTGTCTACTTTTGTCAGTTAGGTTGACGGTTGGACAAGATGATCTTGAAGGTCCCTTCCAACCTAGAAGATTCTGTGATTCTGTGATTTCTGACCGTTCACCATTCAGCTAACCCAGGGGTGGGAATTTCAAAGAACCGTTCAATGACCAACTCCTGTTGAAAGCCAGCAGGATCCGGGCTCCCACATCCCATTTTCCAGCTCCCTTAAACCCCCCTGCCCGCCGCCCTCGCCCCTGCAGCACGCCGAGACCGCACCAGCGTGGGAAAGCGTTACCCCAGAAACCTGGGGAAACATGTTTCTGAAGAACAAGTGACAGCTAACAGATCAGCAAAGATATTTAAGAACTGAGTCAGTCCTAAGTGAGTCAGAAGGCCACGGCTGGACGAGAGGGGAGGAGGAAGCCGGGCTGAGCGGCAGCATCTGCTCCTCCGCAGCTCCCACTCGGAGCGTTTCAGGGTGGGCAAAGTGGGGCTGGGAACACCACCGAGGGCACTGGCTGGGCTTCCACCACTGAGCACACATCCAGTTGGTAGGTTTAAACAGGCATGGCCACTTTTTAACAGATTAACAGACTCTATCCACTCTGACAAACTGGATTAATCAAACCCTCACCCAAAAGCCAGCTGCTACGGATCTCCAAGCACTCAGGAGACTCCTGTGCTCTCCAGGCTCTTTCCTCCTCCCCCCAAGTTTGCTTTTCTCACAAGAAAAAAGACAACTTTCTTCCACAGGAGAGATGGGCACTGCTTAAGTCAAATCACCATGTTCTCCTTGGACATCTTCTCCATAATACACTCTACATGAAGCTGCACTTACAAAAGATGAACTGAGGTCAGCCTAATCCTGCTTGAGGTTGTATCAAGTTTGCAATGCATTTTAAGAGATTAAAATCATAGAATCATAGAATGGTTTGGGTTGGAAGGGACCTCAAAGATCATCGAGTTCCAACCCCCTGCCCTGGGCAGGGACACCTCCCACCAGACCAGGTTGCTCAAGGCCCCATCCAGCCTGGCCTTGAACCCCTCCAGGGATGGGGCAGCCACAACTTCCCTGGGCAACCTGTTCCAGTGTCTCACCACCCTCAGAGTAAAAAATTTCTTCCTGAGATCTAATCTGAATCTTTTTTCTTCCAATTTAAAACCGTTTCCCCTCGTCCTATCATTACCCTTCCTGGCAAAGAGTCCCTCCCCAGCTCTTCTATAGGCACCCTTCAGATATTGAAAGGCCGCTATAAGGGCTTCCCGGAGCCTTCTCTTCTCCAGGCTGAACAAACATAGTACTTTCTACTACCAAGGAGGCAGGAGAAAGCCAGCTGTGTTTAGAGCAGCCCAGCAACCGTGAGTGGTCACCAATGGGAGAAACCATCACTCAACCGCTCGCAATCCAGGGACTGCTGCACCACCTACAAAGTAAAATTATTTTACAGAACCCATCATGTTTCTGTCTTGTAAGAAGCACGCAGTGCCTGTGGGCCCACGCTGGGCCTCTGCGGCTGAGCGGCAGGATCTCGGCAGCACGGCCCCACGGGAGGCTGAGGAAGCAGAAGCGTCAAGGCCCCGATGCTATCAGGGTCCCTTTGAACCGACACCAGCATCCTGTCCCGCATCGCCACACGCAAGAGCCCTGCCGTGCCCCGGTCCCAACTCCTTCCCCAGCCATCTGGGCAGCCCCACGTCGCAGCGGGACGGAGGGGGACAGGCTGTCCCAGTGTCCCAGCCCTACCCGGGCAGCACAGACACCACGCGTGTGACACTGCCTGAAGAGCACCTACAAGGCATGAGAAAAGGAAGGGTGTACCCCAACAGGAGACACAGCATCTCACCAGTCCTCAAGAGTGGGAAGCAATTATTCCCCTTTTAATGCTCGAATCATAGGAAGTGGAAATGAAAACCTAGCAATTTGGTTTTTTTAAATTTTTTAGCAGCTCTGCACCCAACACCCCAGAGCCACGGGCATGTGCCACCTTGGAGCCACATAAATCAAAGCGTTTTAGAAACAAACAAACAATGAAGCTGTCATAATCCTTATCGAATATTTTCCCAAATATAAGAGAAAGTTGGTCTCGAGCAAAGCAGAGCTCATTCTGGCAGCTCCTGCTCCAAGCATTCGCTTGGATCCCATTTGTACAGACCTGGAAACTGGGATTTTTAGCAAAAGCGCTGACAGCGCCTCAGGGACAGGACTGAAGACAGATGACAGCTCAGCAACGCGGGCTGCGTGTTCACTCAAGAAGCACGAGGCACAGCCCTAGTTTAAAAAAAGGGTGAGAGAAAAGGAACAGAGGAAAGCGAGGCCCCGAAGGAGCACACCCCAAACCACAAGCACCAGTTTCTAGAGCCAGCGTGGAACGGCCTCGCGAGGTGCAGCCACCTGCGCTCCCAACCCGACCCGAGTCTTCCTCTTGCCAATCCCTGAGAAAACACACCACAGTGTCCCAGGGAAAGAGGGGAGAGGGGCAGGGAGCCCCCGGCTTCAGGGAAGAAAAACGAGACTGACCTCCTCCCGAGCGCCGGCTTGCTCATCACCCAAACCTCCTTTTTTCTAGCGGTCTGCTCTGCACATGCGGAAACCAAAATATTTCACATTTTCGAGGGGAAACGTGCTGTCAGCATTTTAGAGACCGGGGAGAGAAACACACAGATGTGTGCGTGAGCTCCAGCACCTCCGTCCCGGGCTGGCCCTGCCACCCCAGGGGCATCACCTTCCCCAGGAGAGGGGCAGAGCCTCGGGACGTTACAGCCACGTGTCTTGGTTATTTTTACCCTGGTAGTTAAATACTGAATCACGGCTACTATAAACAAACCTGTTTAATTTTGAACTTGTAAAAGTTGCTCATGCCAGTTTTTTAAGTTACTATAAACTAGGCCATGAAAAGGGGTGGATTTATTTTTTTTATTTTTTTTTTAAAACCAACATTGCTCAGTGCTCCACCAAAATCCCTTCATTACTCAGAGCCGTGTTTGCAAAACAAACTCAAACCCAGCGCTTCTGCGAAGGCAAGATTTACAGTGATCAAAATCACACTAAAACGGGCAGATCCCCTCCACAATAAAAAAAACATAGAGAAAGAAAGCTACCACAGGGAAGGCTGGAAACGTGAGACCCGGGGACTCTCCCCTTGGCTCCACCAAGGACCAGCACTTGCCAAACGTGGGCTGCAAATTGCCAGCGGCACTGTGCTGCTCCGGCCACCCAGCTCCGGCACTGCCGAGCGACGGCCCCGCTCACCTGCTGCTCCCTAATTAGTTATTTGTTATACACCATGTTCTTAGATATTAAATTACCCAACGAAGTTGAAAGCACATTAAATGCTTCCCTAATATTAATCAAAGCTGTCAACAATTACGCAATTGTTACACGCGAGCTACGGAAACGTGTCGGGAAGAGGGACGGGGGATCGCAAATGAAAGGGTGTTTGTCTGCCAATTGCACAATTAATTAACACAGAGCTCCCCTAAAAAGTAACGAGGCAAACACCACCATAGACTTACCCCATTAGCTAGCAAGTAATTTACTTAAATAATAAGCATCACTGCCATCAACTCACTTGCCAAGTCCCTTCCCCAAGGCTGCCCACCTCCCTCTCTGCAGGGCACAGAGAAACCTCCCGTGGGTGCCCGAGGCCACCAACGGCAGAGAAAAGAGAGGAGGAGGGTAGAAGACAAGAGCAAGCA